TCTATAAATTAATCACCAAAAAAAAAAAAAAAAAGGTATAAAGACACCGCTGACCCGAACGAAACAAGCGTCGATTAAAGCGAGTATTCGTTGCGGGAGATAAATTTAACTACAGGGTGATTTATGAATAGATACTTTTAGGATAAATGAATTGGAAATTTATGACTGAACAACTACGATCGTTTCCTCACTATGTAAACTCTGTATGTTGATAAATTATTGTACAAATATTTAATAAGCATGTTTTATTTTTTTTTTATGCATCTACATCGATCATGGATGCTTAAGACTTGAATAAAGCTAAAGATGACTAGTACTAGACGCGTGCTAACTCTGGTACATATTTTCGTAACAAGTGGTAATAATAAATTATGTTATAGAGTTAAATATACTGTCGCAATATTATGATTTCTATGATTGAATATTATTTCATATTACATCACTTTGCAACAAGTATAGATACGTTTATGGTAAAAGCTAGCGATACTAAGAATTCGATATGGAAGAAATATGTAATTGTTATTGCCGTCGATTATCTTTCTAACTAAATAAAGCAACGTGAAATATTTCATTCCTAGTATTACGCGAACGTTATTCGGCAAATGCATATTGTGATTCGCCCCAAAGAAAACTTTTTAGACTTTGAAATCACGCAAATTTATATAGCACATGATATTGTACTTTTATACGGAAAGGAAAAATATATATATATATAAATGCGGAACTCCTTTTTTTATCTTCTCTACGTTGAAAAGAATCGAGCAATTCCATGTCACGAATGCATTATAATATATTTGCTGCATACAAAGTACTAATATTTCCGTTGGAGATTGTTTGCATCTCTCTTATGTATAATTCGTGTTATGCTAAATATTGTATCGAATCTCACTTGTATATATCATACTATTTTTGGTACCCAAATTAATGTCAAATATTCTTTTATCGATTATTAAAATTATACTCTACGCGCATCATATATTCTTCGACGATTATTTTTTATATATTGTAACAGGATTCAAGTTACATTTTTTTCTTTTGTATTAATGGCAATAATAATAAAATTTCTCTTAACTTGTATATACATATCGAAAGGAGATTTAACAAAAGAAATTGTCAATATTTTACAATAGTTAATTATCACGATTTATATGTCAGATATTCATTCATCCCTCGTGAAGTTAAATCTCTCGGAAAGGAATACTTCTACTGAATAATACAAAGTAACATCACTTCTTTCCGTTGACCAATCTATTCTGGGTCGGTGCCAACGGCGCTCTTCTCTTAACATGTTTCTCCGGAACTTTGTCTTTCGGCAGTGGCACTCCGTTAGAAACGAGTCCTCCTTTTCTCTTCCTTAAAGATTCCGTCGGGAGGTATTCGGTCGGCCTTAGCAGCTGTCTGAAATTGTAAGGGCCATTAATATCCTCCGCATCGTACTCGACCTTGGCGGTCTCCTGCCGTTTCTCAATCACAGTCGGCCTTAGAAGTTGTCTGAGATTAACGGCGATATGGAAATTGTCTCTCTGGAGCTGTTCCTGATCCGTCGATTTTCCATTTGTTAATCGATTAATACCGTTCTGAATACCATAATGATCCACATTATTTTGATGATTTTTCGCTGGATAACCATTTTGTTTAGGATCCGATCGATCCGATGGCTTTTCCGACTTGTTTTGATCTGATAAGCCATTAGTTAACTGTTCTGTATTCAAGATCTTTATTTGGCTTGTTACAACGTTATTATTTATTTTGCAAGGAGATTGGTAATTATTACAGCCATTAATCGATGTGTGGCGCTCGTTAACAAAATTATGATGACCGTTAACGAGATTTTGTCCATTAAGGACATTCTGTTGTTCGTTTACGGCATTGCATCGATCATCAATTGTGAATCGTAGGCCAGATGGATCGTGGATATACGGAGAATCGATTGCACGTTGTCCATCTGCGTGTGATTGCGGGTTGTTGCTATGCAGCTCGTTAATCCTTGTACTAGAAAAAGATAATTTTTGAAAATTTAATTCCTTTTAAAAAAAATTTAAAAGGGAAAGATGTTTAAAAAGGATTAAAACTTTTAAAGGGAAGATGCTTAAGAAGGATTGAAACTTTTTGACTTGTTTTCTCGGTTATTAATAATTAAGTATTAAGTTGATATTAAGCATTAGTTTGATATTAATAACTCGAGAGATATACAAGTTATACTAAATTACTAAGGAGTAGACACGTATTCCAGTCTTCTGACAACCGTATAAATTTATGACTTTACCTGGAAATTTGCCATGATGTTTCTGGCAACGCGTAGGCATAAATGCAACAGATTAGTTATTAGATATTCATTAAAATACGATGCATTTTGATTTTAATTATTAAAATTGCATGTTATCTGATTTTAGACATTAGAAAAAAATTTGATATTATCATATAATATACATAGATAGATTGATGCAAAATTTACAATGTTATATACATTATTATCGCAAGTGAATAAAGTTTAGCATGAACATCGATTTTGCTTTATGCCTTATGTCTTGAATAGAAAGAAAATAAATTGGAGTTAAATTCACACAAGATTGAACTATCATAAATTAAATAGAATTAAGAACGCATTATTCGTTAAAATAATAACATGCGAAAAATAGCATGACATTTATTCGTGGCACAATTCTTACTTGACATTTTTCTTGGAGCTCTCGTTCTCGCGTCGATCGGACGGATGTCTCAGGGCTTTGTGCCAAATGTTTGACAGATGCTGCTCCGGTGCTACTGCAAAATCGGCCTGAGCCGCGCGATTTCTTCTCTCGGCATTCACTTCCAGAATCTGGCTGCCTCGATTCCTATATCAGGGTAATTTTATTATATTTCGATACAGATATTTAATCATAGCATCAATGTAAAGCGCAGTATACGATGGTTAAAAAAATTTTTGAATATCAGTATGCATAAAGAACGGCGTTTATAATAAGTTTGATAAGAAATAAAATTTGATGGAAATAAAAAAATTTAATTCGATTTGGAAAACGGTAAAATTTTTCAATTTTTGTAGAAATTGTAAAAAAAAAAAAACATTCGCGGTAAATTTCTAGAATTCAAAATTCAGGGATATATTATGGGGATTCTCTCTCTGAATGAAATGCTTGCTTAAATATAGCGATGAGAATAACTTGCGCCAAAATAAACTAGCTGGTACTGATACAGCCGATCAAGTTTACGATATACCTCGACAATGTGCGAAGGTCATTTTCTAGCTGTATCAACGGTAAGTCCCAGCCAACTTCGTCGTCTTCGAATTCCGAACCACTTGCGATGCGAGTGCCAGAAGCATTCGAAAATTGAATGTGTAAATTTCCGATTCGTTCGCAACGCTCAGTCGAAGCAGCAAAAACGACGCCTCTTTTGATTTACATATGTATATATACCTGCTCATTTCCTCTTTTAAATCCCGGTAATATTTGACGCTGTCTTCCTCATCCGGCTGCGTTCCGCTACGATAATGCAATATTGACTGCACCATATTAAATCCCTTGGGACGAATATAATCCAAAGGCGGTTCCCCGATATCGCTCAATCTGACACCGGGCTTGTTGCGACGCAGATTTTTGTGCACTTCTTGATTCTTCATGTGTACCTATAGCATATAACGACTAGTAACTTAATCAAATTAATGGTTGTTGACGACGTTAATATGGTTTCCGTATAATATCAAATAAAGAGATTACAGCTAACCTTGAATAAAGAAAAAATACTCTTTAGACAAATTAATTTTCGAAATAATGTAGCGAGTAATTTAAATTACATTTTGAGAGAACTGGATTAGATCCGCTTGCCGTAATTTAGGATGTACGGAGTCCTTCGCGATTGGTTTCTTTCTGACCATTCTCTCCTCTTTTTTATACCATCTTTGAACGATAAGAGCTGCGTCTTCGTGTTTTAATCCTTCGCGTAATAACGCCTTGTGGCCGTCGAATATGTTGTCGTAATTGTTTAAAATTCTTTTGAAACGTTCTTCCAACT